CTCCCCGTCACTTTGACGTATTCCCCTTCTTTCATGTCAGCCAGCCGCCGATTGGGAACATTTCGAAGCAAATGGGAGAGCATGAAGCGTTTGATAAAACTGAAATATGGAAGGCAAACCGGGAAAGAGTGCAGGAGGGAGGGATGAAGGAACAAATATAGCCCAGACAAGCCAGCACACGCGCTTCCTTTATTATCATTCATGTTTGTGTGCTGTAGCTTGCCATGTCATGAATATCACAGATGTCATACCAGCGGGGCCGACCCTCTCTCACACCCCGAACCCAAGCTATCGTGCCTCACCTGTAGGAGTAAAAAGAAGACACTCCACAGGAAATCAGCGCAACGCCCCCAAAGACCCATGCCTTCACCCGCAAATCTCTTTCCTGGCCCCAGATTTTTTCCAGCAACCGGTCTTTCAAACCCATGATGTCTGTGAGAAAGTCGTCAGAGGAGGGAGGTTAAGATAGCCCCTCCCTAGTAGGGTGAAGGTACTACATGCGGCCATAGCCTTTAACACCTAAAGTCAAAGCTTTCATACTTGCACGTGAGAGAGTATGTATTGTGTAGAGCAATTTGGCCCTCAGGGTGAGCATGGGAGCAAGGCAGTCGCCCCATGCGATGAATAGAGGATAGGAACAAGAGGAAACGTTGATCTATCAGGAAGGAGGGTGGCGGCCGCCAAAAGGGACAGGGGAGGCGCACAGACCACACTTTCTGATGGAACAAATTTGGGGTTAAAAGGGGATATAAACAGAAAGAGAGGGAGAGAGAGAGAACGAGGGAAAAAGAAATGCTTCCAGAGGGTCTTGGCAGAAGAAACCACTTTTAGAGTAGAGTACCTCATTAGTTACAAAAAATCTCCGTGGGACGCGAGGTCTCAATCCCTTTGCCCGCACGGGAAAGAAAGGGATTCGAATTCCGGGTGGCAAAAGAATCGGGGCTTTTGCCACCGTCCGTGCCGAGCGTCGAATGTGGGAAGGGAAGCGCGGGAATACGAGGGAAGGGAAGGCACAGAGGGCGATAGGAAGAAAAGGAGGAGCGAGGAGGGCGATCAATCCTGTTTCATGACGGTAGAATCGCCTTCCGGCTTTCCGTCCAACATTCAGCACAGGCATACGCCACCACATGTTTTTATTAAATTAAAGGGGAAAAAAAAACTTTAGCCTGTAAGTCGTTGCGATTGGGGGAATTCGTGGCATGGATGTGGGCCCTCCTGTCCATGTTCTCGCGGATTGAGCATTCGAATGTTGTGCGTCCAACGTGACCAAACGCGTGCTGCTCTGTGCGCCCAGATCTGACGCCTCCCCTTCTTTCCGCAAAGAGCGCTACGTCCTCCCTCCCTACACCGGATGTATAACTCTTCACAGCCAA